GACCAAGGGGTACCTTGACCTAAGACAAGACATGCACACGGCACATCAATTATCTGAAGACAGAGTGGAATGAATCACCAAAGAAGCGGCCGGGGGATGGAGGGCAAAATGGGCTCAGGAGGGGATAGGCCTGTAGCAGAGGCCAGCTGCCTCCTGAGCCGACCGTCCCCAAAACATACATGCGGCCCAGGTGCACGGAGTTCCGGTTTGGCAAAGCACGGTGATGGGGCGCGCGGCCGGAACTGCAGCGGCTGCTCGGGCGAGCATGTGCGCAACAGCCGACAGGTGGGAACAACCCCAGTGCCCCCAGCCGAGAACTGGATTAACAAATGGGATCTCTCCCTGCAACGGAGTGTCACTCAGCCATGGGAAAGGGGCGGAGCGCCGACTCGGGCTGCGGTGTGGAGGGACCTGGAGAACATCAGGCGAAGTGAAGGAAGCAGATGCAAAAAGTCATCTACTCAGTAACTCCTTTCTATGAAATGTGCAGCACAGGCCAATCCGGACAAGAAGTAGGCCCGGAGCTTGGGGGCAGGAGGGATTGGGGGCGGGGGGACTGTTTTATGAGTAAGGGGTCTTCTTCTTCCCCTTTTCTGGTGGTAAGAACACTTAAGAGGAGATCTACCCTCTTGACAGATTTTTAAGTGTGCAGGACAGTATTGCCAACTGCAGGCACAAAGCTGGGCGCCAGGTCTCCAGAACTTACTCTTCTGGCGTGACTGAAACTCTACACCCCTCGAATAGCAACTCCCCATTTCCCTGTCCCCTTGGCCCCTGGTGCATACCATTCTACCCTCTGGCTCTTTGAGATGGACTCTATTTTAGATAAAAGTACAATCACGGGGGGGGGTTTTCTTTTGAAAATTAGTAACTAGACGGAGATGGTGGTAGCACAGCATTGGGAAGGTCCTAAATGCTACTATGACTCAGTTTAAAACAGAAGAAAAAAAGGTCCCTCACAAAAAAAAGAATGGAAGGAAGCTACTGCACACCACAGGCCCCTTGCACAGCCACAGCTGGAAAAGCCTGAGAAAAATAGGGGGAGCACCGTGGCTGGGCAAGCAGCCCCTTATTGAATTTCTGTGACATTCTGGTGCCGGCAACTCCGTAAAGAAGCCACAATCTCAGGATTGAAGTCATAGTCTCACAGGGGAGGCGGACAAGAAAACGGAAATGAACAGCACACCAATTTCTAGGAAGCCTTACGATGCATACAAGTCCAGGAATGAGGGTATGGCTGATGCCCTATCAGGGTGGGGACTGTTCAGGGAAGGACTTCAGGCAAAGGGAACAGTATCTGTGCACTGGGAACAGCAGGAAGTTTGCTATGGTGTGAGCAGAGAGCCGTGGGGCCACAGTGGGGCAGGGGGGTGAGAATGACACCCCCAGGATGAACTCGTGTTCTGCTGTGGTGCCCGGGCTTCATCTGGTTCACTTCGAGGCTCTGGAAGTGCATCCTGATTGCAGCTGGTCTCTGCTGAGTACCGGAGAATGGGCTGGCAAAGCTCAGAGACGGGGAGCCCGCTCTGGAGGAGGATGCAGCAGCGCTGGAGGGAAGGACTCAGGGCCTGCACTAGCCATGAGGGCAAGGAGGGAGGGATGGCATGCGCTGACCAGGGCAGCTGCTCAAGTGGCAGGTGATGACCAGGCGTCTCCACTGGGACACGCTAATGGAAACCTCCGAGAGTCCACTGGAGTCTGGATCTGGGGTTTAGAAGAGAGATGTGGGTGATGGGTGTACGTGTGGGATAGAGATTCACTGAAATCCAAGAAGGCAGAAGACAGGACGCAAGGTTAACTCTAACATCTGAAAGGCAAGTGCAAGGGGTGAAGGAAGCCAAGGTTACTCAGAAGTTCCCAAAACCACAGGAGAAATACCAACAGGGTGGGGTTATGGATGTGAAGAAAGACGAGCTGGAGGCAGGATCAGTTCCTCACTACTGATAGATTTCACTTGTTCCTCGAGAACTGCAGTGATACCCACTGAGATTGTGTGTGATTGTGTGTGTGTGTGTTCAACTGAGCCTCACAATTTCATGAGCAACAGGGCATATGTGCTAGTCCCATTTTGCCGAGGATACTGAGGCCAGAGAAGTCAAGCATCTTGCCTAAGTTGGGGGTTTGCGAGTGGTAGTGCAGGGCCTGGAACCCTTCACATGGTGCCCCCTCCCTTGCTGTTTCTGGGTGCTCTCTGATTACTCTGGTGGGAAGGGAAACATCTGGGGCCCAGAAAACGAGGATTCTTCATGGCCTAGAGGGCTAAAGTGCCTCAAAGTTCCCCACCAGGAACCCTGAGGAAAAAGCCTAAGATAGGACCAGTTCAGGACTGACGTCCCTGTGCACAGAAGTCACTCTCAGCTGCCTGACCACAACCACCTGCGGTCATTTCCTGCCAACATCGGGCTAACCCACAGGCCCACCGAAAGGGTGACAAGAACAGAAAAAGCAGATGGCACACCACCAGTCTGCCACTGAAATGTCACCTCAGACTCCAAATGTGGCATGTGGTGGATCAGTAAAAGGGTGCGATCCCATTTCCTAAAGCACCGGATGCCCTCCGTATTGAAATACATGTGTGCATCTGTACGTTCGTGTAAGCACAGAAAACATCTGGGAGGATCTACACTTCAATGGTGGAGGAAAGGAGGCTAGAAGCAAAATGTTTTTAGGTATTTTTAAATTTATTTGCCTGCGCATTACCTTTAGAATTAAAAACCCCAAGAAGGAAGTGTACTGGTGTCTTCATGTGGCTCTGAAATGCATCGACAGGTGGATTTGGTGGACAGAGCTATGTGACTGAGCAGGTGCAGGAAAACGTAGACTCTGGATGGTGGGGATTTGGGTGCTCACGGTAAAACCCTCAAACTTTGCTGTATGTCTGACACTTTTATAATAAAACACTGGAGGAAAAATCCCCAATAAAGATGGGAGTAGAAATCCGGTCTGGCTTTGAGAAGGCAGAGCCGTCCTGTAGACATTCCTGGGCGCTGACTTCTGCCCTCTCTGCCTCAGGCGTCTCATTGGTAAAGCGAGTTTGGGCCCTGGCTCCCGTTCACGTACCCCTCCCCACACTTATGGATGAGTTCCTATCCTTGCGGTGCAGTAAGGTTACAGATCCAAGTCAATGTCCCCTGCATTCCCCACCCCCCCACCGCCACTGACTGGCACCCCAGCAGTGAGGCCGAGGGGCAGGTTAGAATTCTCTGGGTCCCAAACAGCTTCTCGTTCCTTTTTCTAACCAAGGACTCAGGCTTGAGCACAAGAAGGTCAGATGCATTTTCTTCTGAACGATCAATTACCAGCACACAACACTTTGCGAAGCATGTGCCTCACCAGCCAGCCTGGGGCTGCAGCCTGAGCGGCAAGAAACTGTGGGCTGCCTCACCGGCTGGAGAGCACACTTCCCCGGGGCCTGGAATGGTGAGGACGGGGAAGAGCGAGGGGCTGGGAAGCTGACAGTGTGGGGAGGCCAGCGGTGTCCACACCCAGCGCGGTGCCCAGGGAGCGGCATTCTTCCCAGAGCGGAAAGCGGGAGCTACACAGATCCGGCCCCAGGCCTGAGTGGGCTGAGTAAAACTTCCTGTCCCAATCCCTGGAGCTCTGCAATCAGCAGCCCCCAGATGTCCCTGGGAGCTCAGCAGGCGGGTGGAAATGGCTGAAACTGATGCCAGGCTATCAACAGGTTCCTGTGGGATTTCCATGGGATTTCCATACTCGTCCTGCAGGAGGCTGCTGCCCGCTGTCGGCGACCCTGGGCCTGGCACAAATTGAGGCCACCTGGTAGACGGACACAAATGTCCTTTGGTATCCCCAGGTACCCACGGGAGGGGGCCTTAACCGATGCCGGTTGAGGAGAACACAGAAACGAAGCTGTGCTTTCTGCCTTTTTCTTACTGGCTCCTAACCACCACCACCACCACCACCCGGCCCGGCCCTGCCCAAGCTTCCTGATGCCCTGTGCAAAGCCAAGGTCACTGCCCAAGGGGGAGTTCAGAAGTGTTTGGTCGGGCTGGGGGTGGTGCTAAATGATGCCAATGCCTATCCCTCCAACTAGACCAGGGAGCCAAACCAGAGGCAAAACTCTCTGGCGCTACAGCGGGAGGGGTGATGCTGGGGTGGGGCAGGGGTGGGAGGTGACTGCATACTTCTGCCCCCTCCCTGAGATATAGGGGGAGCACTCTAACAGCTGCTTTTGTCAAAGAAATATCTAGGAGGAGGAGAGAAAGGAGGCTTCACTGCTTTGGGGCGAGCTGTATACGAGGACGTCACAGAAACATCTCAGTGAATGTGAAAGACCTTTCAGGGGAGGTCTCTGGATCACTCATTTAGCTGGTAAGTGGCCATGGCTCCCAAGACGAGGTCCTTCCACTTGGCCACCTTACCTCCTTTCCTTAAAGGACCAGGCGACAGGGTCTCTTCCCTGGAAGAGGAAAGCTGGAAACCACCACCCATCCCAGTCTCAGATCTTTCTCTTCTCGTGGAACTACTATGCACGCGCGGCCCAAGAAGGGTGCAGGAGCCTAGATGGAGGGAGCTGCACTCTGCCCCCCTAGTGCCTCTGTGAGGCTGAGCTGCCCCGTGGGGAGCCCCGGCTCCCACATTCCCCAGGGGACCCCCAGAGCTGCTGGTGTCACGGAGCGGGCAGGAAGGCCCAAACAGCTACAGATCCATTTCTGCCGGCACCTGCACCCCGGGGGGAAGGCTGAAGTTGGTGCAGCTCGGAGCCGGCAGCTGAGAGCAGCACCAGACATAATGCATCGCCCCTGGTGCTGAACGGCAGTCAAGGCCCTGGTGGGAAGAAAGGTAGGAGCAGGAGGGAGAACCCCAAGCAAATGACACAGACCCCGGCTCCACCTCCTGGCCTCATTGCCAGCCCCAGAGCAGTAGAACCTGGTCCTGCGCCTCCTCAGCAGAGGCAGAGCTGCCGGCCCCATCTCCTGGCGGTTCAGGAGGGGCAGTGCCATCAATGCCAGGTCTCACCAGCTCCCTTCTTGGGAAATCTCCAGGAGAAGGGGTAACTGAGAGCAGAGACTTCCCCTACCAGCGGTGGCATCCGCAACCCAACATCCCAGATTGTGGGGCGTGCTCCAACTGTTTTGGCGGGTTGGCTGCAACGACGGAAGCCCAGAGGGGTCAGCCAATAAAGTTCAGCCGTGGAGGGCTTCATCTTTACCGAGGCTCCCCACGGCGACCCCACTCAGTCCCTTCTCTTGTAGCCCCCCGATTCTGGTGTCCCCGCTGTGGCGAGCCTCTGTGGGTCTCCTGCCCGCTGACTCCTCACTCGCCCAGCAGCCCTCTGGTCAGCAACCGCCGGAGCTCCCTCCAGCCGTCCCTCCTGGAGGAGGGGTCCCAGGGCAGACACCTCTGAGTCTGGCCCTGCTAGAGCATCTAACAATAACCCCTGGCAGGGCCCCACTGGGTTGGGCACACTCCTCGGCCAGGACGTGGTTCCTCCAGGCCTAAGAAAATGCAGGTTCCATCCCAAGCACAGGGTCTCAGCAGGAATGCAGGCCAAATAAGCACCATTTACACAAGTCTGCTGGCTCGGGGTAAACTAGCGGAGGTATTCCTGCTTTTGGGGGGGGAACGTCAGATTTCCTTTCCTTTAAAGAAACTTTGTGTGACATGCAGCATTTTCAGAGCCCTGGAGTTGGGGGCAATGACTTTAGGCAGAGAGCAGGACAGAAGGTAGTTAGGACCTAAGAAGCAGGGCATGGGTCAGCACTCCAGAAGAGAGCTGAGCATCTCCTGAAGCCGTTTTGATAGCCACCAAGCTCTCCTCAATACTGCTGGCAAAGGAACCCGAAACACCCCAGAATCTACTGGGACCACGGACCCCCGGCTGGTCTTGGAATCAAGGCCCCCTAAACTTTCCATGGACAGCTGGCCATCTATCATGCCCCCCCGCCCCCCGCCACGGTATTAGGACTCTCTTCTGTTCACAACAAAATCAGGACCGCCAGCCCATCTCCAGGCTCATTCTGCTGGCTGAGCAATGTGAAGGTCAAAACTGGAGTGCATATTCTTGAGGGCGAGCTCTCTAGTCTAACAACTACAAACATGTTGGAAAGGGAGAGAAACTAAAGGCCCATTCAAGCTCACTGCATTGACCCACAAAAGTGGGACCCACCAACTCCTCCCTCATCTCCTAGGGGTCCTGAGTTCAGAGCCGCTGTGGAGGAGAAGGAAGGATGGAACATTCAGTGCTCTGGGGTCAGGCACTCTCCCTGCACCCTCAGCACGGGGTTGCTATTCACAAGCCTTGCGAGCCAGGTGCTTGCCTTGGGAGTTCCAGTTCCTGCTCTTCACATTTCTCTCGAGCACTGGGTGGACCAGTTAAACTAGTCTTGCCTTTCCTAAGTTGGTTTTTTTTAAATCTGGCAGGCCGCTACTGGAGGCTTTCCAACCCACAGCTCAGGCCAACCCTCATAATAAGAAAAATACTACTTTCTATTTGCCTCATTTAGGAGGTTTCTACTCTTTTTCCTTTGGCGGTTAACTAAATTTCATCTTATATAACCACTGTAAATTTTCTAGAAATTTCCCCAATTAGTGCCAGCAATTACAGAAAATGTGTGTATGTGTGTGTGTAGATGAGAAATCTCCAGGGGAGTGACCATGAGTTCTGGTGAATCTTCATAAGAAAACAGCATTTCGCTCTCTATCCACTAAGACCGACCTATCTTGCCCACTCTCCAGAAGATTCTGGGAGCGCCACACTTTACAGATTCTTTAAGTCTCCTCACATTGCTTTTACACAGAAAAGATAAAGTGAAGGTGGAGAGGATGGGATGATGAGGAATCATGGGTAAAGTATGTTATCGGCAAAACCAAAATAAACACCCAGACATCCTGACTTGGGTGGCCTATGGCCCCTGAAAGCCCTGTCCTTTACGTGAATTACAACAGGCCCTAGACCAGCTCTGGAGACTTCCACTCCACATACACTCCCCAGGTGGCAAACGCCTTCTCTAATCTGGAAGGTTCAGAAGTCTTCAACGAACACAGAGACTGGCTCCCGGGAGCCCAGCCATGAAGGCGTAAGTGTCCAGAGAGAGAGGCCAGCCATCATTTGTGAAGCATCTTCATGGCCTTAAGTCAAATCCCACCAATAGGACCGGATGCAACATGCCTCTCCTTGCCTCTGCCGGGAAGGACTGGCTTTTGCAAAAAAGGACCTTGAGTTTAAAGCCTCTAGTTTACAAACACACAGACACAGACACAGACACACACACACACACACACACACCCTGAAGAGGTGGCTTTCAATGAGAGGAATAGGGGAAAATGGGGCCAGAATGGGAAAAGCTGCAGTTCTGTCCCAGACTGGTTGGCCATCTTCCTCTAAGGGGACTCTGAGTTTTGACTTCTGTGGGCGGCCATGCCGGCTCTCCCGTGGAAGTGAAGGGGACAGGCAGAGGAGGCCCTGCCCTGTGGCTGTGGGGACAGAGGAGAGCTCCAAGCAGCACCCGGCACGTGCAAGGCCCTCACCTTCCCTGTTCTATGAATGGGGTGTGCGGGTACCTCTCACTCAGGTGGCCCAAGAGCACTCCGTCCTCTGCAGCTGCCCTTGCAGAGTTCTCCCTGATGACGTCAAGAGCCCACAGTCCTCTCGGGTGGAGCCCACTCTGAGGCTGCTTTGTGTTCTTATGACAGCAAGGCAGTGTCTACACAGAGCTCTCCCCAGCCACCCACAGGACAAAAAGCGGTCTTCATGAGGGCTGTGCACATGTGGAGAATAAGTGAACACAGTTTCTGAGGCCACGGTTGGGGAGGGCTGTGGGCCACGGGAGAAGACTCGTGTCCCTCCATGGTCCCAGGCAGAGACGAGGAGCAGCAAGAACAAAGTGGAGCTAGCGCATCCTTTAAGGAACGTACACTGACGAGTCTGACAGGAAGCCCAGAGCTCACATTATGATGTTTCAGAAAAGCAGCAGCAGCAGCGGTGTCTAGGGACAGGCAGCGGCTGTCCACAGGGTAGAAGAGGGGCTTCCGGGGCACCAGGTGGGAAATAAAGGGGAAGGAACACTAGGGGCGGGGGCGGGGCCACAGCTTGCCCTGTAGCCGGTGCTCCAACCCAAGCAAACAGGACCAGACTGAGTGTAGCCCTGCCCACACGCATGCAGAATCGGCTGAGCAAGTAAGAGATAAGGGAATAGCAGGGTGTGTTTTTAGGAGGAGTAGATCAGATTTGTCAGATGCACTTTGCAGGAACAATATGGAATCATCAGGCCTCCCTAGGCTAATGCTATAGGGAGGCAGGAGTGCCTCTGGGTCTGAGGAGGCAGGAGGCCAAGGACAGCTCTGGAAGGAGAGTCAACCCGGGGAAACTTTCGTCAGGATGGGGCTCAAGTGATCCCAGGCTCACCTCCTAGCCAGTCCACAGACTGAGAAACCACAGAATTCGTCCCGAGCACTGCTATGACTTCAACCCCAGAAGGCAGCCTCGTGATGGGGTTGGGACACGCCCCCTCAGACCCAGTGCCTGTTCTTGCAGAAGATGCATTCCTCCAGTGAACATGGTCGGAAGGCCAGATTAAGCACGTTAACAGTGGAAGACCAGAGAGCTGTGAGCAGCCCACAGCGCCCAGCACCGAAGAGAGCTCAGTCCACTCTGGAAAATGACGACAGGAGACCCACGGATGGGCTCACATCTTTGAGGGTGACCGTCTCGATCAACGCCAGCTCTAACTTCCTGGGCACTGACCGCGTGCCAGGCTCTGTACTGAAGGGTTTGAGGTGTAAATGTCTTACATTATTCTGACAGAAATCCTAAGAGCCAGGTTACTGACAGTTCCATTTCACGGACCAGAACACCAAGGCTCTGCTAAGCTGAGCAGCTTGTCTAAGATTGTACGGTTAGTAAGTGATGGAGGCAGACTTTGAATTCAGATCTTTACCCACAGCATACCGGGCAGATGGCGACACTTCCTTCATCCACAGAGGTGCCGTGTTTCACGGGATGGCCTGGCCTGGTAATTCTACCCCTGGTGCACTCCCTGCTCAGCTCTGAGGCAGCCTCCAAGGTAGGAAGCAGTGTGGCCTTGGTGGACTGACTAGGTGGCAGGTCAGCATTTTTAGTCCCTGAAGGGTGTCCACTTACTGAACTTATTCTGCTATGCACACCAGCGGCACAGATGCCCCCTCCCCCGAGGAGGTGGTGTTCCCCCCAGGCCCTCCACTGGCAGGTGTGTAAACGGGCAAAGGCCTAACTGAGCAACCCGAGAAACTGGCCAGTGCCATGGGCCTGACCCCCAGCCGGGCCTTCCTTCCTGTTCTGCTCTGCTTCCTCCCCAGCTGCTGCACCAAGATCCCTGGAACAGTTGATTCCTCGACACTGTGCAGGCATTCCTGCCGGAAAGCGGGGCACCAATGCTGTCCAGAGCCACACGAAGTTGGGAAGACCCTCATTCGGAGGTTCCCCCAGCCAAACCCTTACCGTTGTAGGAGAGGCGAGGTTTGCTCAGACACATTATAAAGTGCATTTCCATCTCATCAGAAGCCACAGACTTGGAACAAATGGGGCACTTGAAACCTGAAAGAGAGGAAAACAGTATGAAATGCTTCTTCCAAACCAAGCACACCCACAACCGACACAGAGGCCCCTAGACTGCTATGGCCATGTGGGGTGAGAGTCAACGTGGAGAATTCCAATCTAGATACACCCTAGCCCTGATCTTTTCTTCATTAATTCTGTTATTTTATCACAGCCTCCCAACTCCCACTGGCCCCTCGGCGAAACTTATCAGAAGGCATGGCAGCTGGTTTGAGTTTTATTTTCCTTTAGACCCTCTCCCAAGGGGGTCGAGTGGGCAGCAGGGATAGGCAGGAATGCAATCAAGGCAAACAAATCGTCAGTCTTTGAGTAACAAAGCATTTAATACTCTTCCTCCTCACGGCCCTCAAAGCACTTGGCTGGGCCACCTGTGGCAGCGAGCCTGACAGCGGTCAGGTCAGCACCTCCATCCCTCCCCCGACCTCCCGGAACCAGGCAGCACCTCCATCCCTCGCCCAAGGCACCTGGGGCCTCCCTGTGGCTCAGGCAGCTGTCCTCTGAGAGTATGGAGCAGCAGGGTGGCCCTCCGGAGCCCTCCCAGATGCCACGCGCGCCTTGGCCGTATGCCACTAAGAGTAACAGCTGTTGCACAACGCCCGGGGGACACAGGGTGGTGTGACCCTGCTGTCCCACTACCAGGGGAGTCTGGACTGCTTGTACATCTGAGCAGTTTCATCAGAACTGTACCCCTATTGGAGATTTCCACTGAGAATCTTCTGAGCTGAACTCCATTAAGCAAACCCAGTCCCTTGACTTATTTATAAACAACTTTTTAAAGATAAATGATTTCCAATTTCCCCCATTTTATTTTTATTGAAATTATTTTCAAATGATCGACTCTGTTCCATTCTACCAAAAGGATCTAATACCACTGGAAGGTTATTACTTATTTGTCCACATCTAATTTCACACGTTGCAGCTTCTCCCTTTTGTGACTGTAATTCTTACCCACCCAGCCTGGATTTCTTAGGTCCAATACAGCACATCTAAATCTTGTTGTGAAAATTTGACTCTCCTGGTAACTTTTCAGTCTAAGTGTTCCATGCACAGTTTCACTGGATGCTGGTAATATCTGTCGGCAACACTTCCTATGACACAGACAAAAGCCGGAGGGCTCGTATTGACTGTTCACTGCTCCCAGACGGAGGAGGAGGTCACACCTTTCTTCCCAGGGCCTTGCTCATTCTGTATGGAAAGCCCTGTACTTTGACAGCTGTGGGTGCAGAGACAGGAAGCAAGCCAGCTCCTGTGTTCCCATGTAGGGCACAAGCACTTTGTTTAAAGTCTTCTCCAAACCCTCCTCTTTTCAGTGACAATGAACTATAGGACCAGAAAGAAAATCCAGGGTCTGGTTAACTGTGGACAAAGTGGAGTTCAGACTCCGTGGCATAGTCACCATTTTCCCGACCCCTCTCCTCAAAAATCGTGAGCATCCTGTGTCTCAGCTAAAAAGTCTTGCGAGTGCTATCAATCCAAAGATTCTGGCCAAGCTTGGAGCAAGGGCTGTACTTTCTGATCTCTGGGTGATTATGAATCCATTAATAACAAAACCAGAAGACAAAAGAAACACGGTAGGGGGAGGGTCCATCGCCAGTTTTCTGGCAAAACCCGATCTCAGATGCGCCAGGCTGATTCTTTTCTAACCCAGTTTAGAAATCTACAGACACAGTGTGACACACGTGGTGGACAGGTGAGTAATGAACTTGAGTCTTGTACAACGAGGCTATCTCCACATCTACCCTAGGTCCCTCCGAAGCCTTGGTTCTGTCCTCATGCCCAGGTCCTGCAAATAAACCAATATTAAGGAATATTTTCTTTAGAGATTCCTTCACCGTTTTTTTCTGACTCAAAAGACCAAGGTTTTATGTTCCCTTAAATGACTACAGGACATTTCTAGTTTAAAAACTTGTTACGTTAGCACCTTGTCTGCAGGCTGAGGGCTCAGAGCTGAGGGCATGCCAGGGTGGACACGCTCTGGACTAGCTCCTCCAACACCGGGCCCCAATACTGTCGCTGGGAGGTGCTAAAGTGAACTGTTACTACTGATAAAAGGCCTTACACTTCACATTACTCACTTTCCTGATAACCTAGAACAGATTCGTGGTTATCACTATAATAGCATCAATCACGCCTGCATCCCAACATGACTTCTTGAATGCAGGACAGGGAGTCAAGTTATAGCTAAGGTACTGGGACGTAGGCCACCCAATGAGAAGGTCTACAAGGAAATGTCACCGGACATTTATGTCCTAGAAAAAACAAACCAAGGTGAGACTCCCAGGTTTAGGCCAGTGCCCTCATTGTAATGAGAAAGAGGCCCTGAAGAAGACTCAGGCTCAAACACTTGTGGGGGTGGGGCTGAAACTGGTCAGATTTCTTAGCTGGCCATCTCAAGTCCTTTCTATCCAGGAAGAAGGAGCCGACTACACTTGTGATGTTGTGATTTACAATAAGAACTATGTATTTGGTCTTCGTCCTGTTCCTGGCACAGAGTTCCTAACACCCTGGGAATTTCCTAACATAATAAGACCAGTAGTATTTGGTCTTTTGTCACTGGCTCCTGAAATAGCTCCAGAGCCATAGGGTGAAAGGAATGTCTTGTTACTCATAACGAGTCCCTTTCAACCACACCAAAATTTATGTTAATGAGGTCACTTTGGGACAGTTCCTTGGTAAACTAAGGATGAGGGCTAGTTGCAAGGCGAACCAACCAGCTGATTAGAGGGTCCTACCCCTCAACTTCTGGGGAGGGGTGGGGGCTAGAGATGGAGTTCAATCACCAATGGCCACTGACTTCATCAGTAATGCCTATGTAATAAAGCCTCCATAAAAACCCCAGAGGATGGGGCTCCGAGAGCTTCCAGGGTGGTGAACACATGAAGATTCAGGGAGGGTGGTGCCCCACAACAGGGCACGGGGGCTCCATGTCCTGTCCCCATACCTTGCCCTCTGCATCTCTTCCATCTGGCTGTTCCTGAGTTATATCCTTATATAATAAATCGGTAATCAAGTAAGTAAAGTGTTTCCGAGTCCTGTGAGGTGCTCTAGCAAATTACACGAACCGAGAAGGGGGTCATGGGAACGTCTGATTAAGAGCCAGTCAGGCAGAAGCAAAGGTGACAACCTGTACTTGTGATTGGGGTCTGAAGTGGGGGGCATTCTTGGGGGATGGAGCCCTTAACCTGTGCGGTCTGGTGCTATCTCCGAGTAGACAGTGTTGAAATTGGGTTAACTGCTTGGTGGTGCTGGGAAAACACTTCAGAACAGGGTTTTAAGAAGAGGTGGGCTGGAAAACATTACACCGGGAGAGGAAGCACCATTGTGGTAGGAAGAGACCTACAGTTTAGCCAAAGCAGCGTTAGTGCCACTTGCATGACCTTCCTCTGGAATGGGGGGCGGGGTTAAGGATCAAAAAATAATTCAGGGTCTATTACGTGAGTGAGAAATGACAAGAGGACCTGGGTTTTCCAGCTTCGAGATGTGGTAAGTAATCTACACTCCCTGGACCTCCGTGTTCTCATTGGAAAAAAAGAAGACTTTGCCTCTCTCTTGCAAGGCTCAGATGAGGTAAGAAAACTGAAAGCGCCCGATGAAGAAGCTAATCAAATGTACCATCAAGCCCGGCAGCCCTGAATGAGGAGGAAGGAAGAAGAGGACTGGGGAAGGATTTGGGGGGCCGGGAGGTGGGGGGTGGTGGAGCAGCAGGGCACAGAGGCCACAGGTAACGCAAAGTGTGCCCGGGCGTAGGGGTGGCCATCTCTGCTTGTCCCATCTGTTTCCTCTGAACTTCTGGAGCGCCGTGCATGGCACTTTCCACACTGCCCGTGTGGAACGAGGCTCCCTGTTCAGCCTCTTGCATGTGATGGCAGACAACAGCTTGCGTGCACTGAGCTGTTACTCTAAGTGAGCAGCCAATGGGCCGTATGTGTCTGCATTTACGAGATTATGGAGTGGGCACTACTGTTACCTGCGTGTGCCCCGCTTGCCGAGCTGGGTGACGGGTGGGCTGGTCTAAGGAGGAGGCGATCTAGGCAAAAGGAACATAAACACTACATAGACGCTGGGTATTAGTAAATAATAACTTCAAATCCTCCACCCTGTCCCAGCAATTTCTTCTGAAGCACTGTGGGCCTGGATAATCTCATAAACGGAAACAATCGAGAATTTTTTTTCTTGTTCCTGGGCACTGTGTTAACATGGAGCTTGGCACGGAGCCTGTAGCACTGGTTGTTAAGGTGCCGAGTTTGCAAATTACCTCTTAAATGGAAAATAAAGGACATGAAGTAAGAGGGCTGGAAAGACAAGGAGAGCTAAGGGGAAAAAACTAATGTCCCCACGTTCTTTCCTGAAAGGGCATCCGACGACCAAGATGGATGCTACCACTCTACTACCCCAATCTTTTCTTGCAAATGTCCAGTCACACGATTCAGCATCAACAGCCCTACAGAATGATAAATACTGTGATCTTCATGAGCTATCCGAAGGTGAAAACAGCTAGGAAATTTTGATACCATTTGGGAAAAAAATTTAGGACAAATTAAAATCAGCCCTGTGGACAAAGACAAAGGTTCACAAAGTCACCATGTGGACGAGACTGAGTCAAATTTCAGAAGAGCCCTTCATCAGCACTCAGGAAGTATGTGCAGGACACGCTTTGTCTTCCTTCACGAGAGCTACAGGCGGAGCCTTTGGGACAGACTCTCCCTGCCTGCACCTGAGACCTGACTGCCCACGGCACCCTGGGAGCTGGGAGGCGGACAGCACGCGCACGCTTTCCCTCTCCCTATCTTATCAGAGGCAGGGCCCTGCACGTGTTGGGGCTTTAATATGGGCCACTGACAGAGTGAAGGGCCGGCTAGCTCCTTATTGCTGGCCAAGTCTGACAGCAGTTCCTCTGCCACTGGGATGTGGCAGAAGCAAGGAAGTTACAGGGTTCCTGGTCCTTCGCTGCCAAACTCTCAAAATGAGGAACGGATGAATGACAGGGCACCAAGGGGAATCTGTCTGTAATGCCCTGATTCTGCCCTGGATGGGCTCTACCAAGCAAACGCTGCTACAGGCTTCCTCTACCCCAATCTAGAGGCGCCCTTCTAATGGGGACCTTACTTCTGCTCTTTCTTGTCATCAAAGCAGCTCAAAATTATACAGCCAGAACAGCCCACGGGAGTGTGATCAGCCAGAGCCCAGCTGCTTCCTGTCTTTCAACAGCAGATTGCATAAATGGGGGAATCCTCAGCTGGGCTACAAAGCAGAGCTCCTGGGAGAAGACAAACCCGCACTCGCCACCCAGTGCGGGGCCTTGACCCCTGTAACCGCAAGGTCAGGGTAAGCCCACCAGTAGGTGAACCAACAGAGACCCAGGGGAATGCACACACAGTCATGTATGGTAAGCATCTTCCTGCACCTGGGTCCTTCCAGGACAGGGCAACTGGCTCAAGTAACTATCCTCCCAGGCATCCACAACATTTATCTTGTGATGTAAATCAGTTTTTCTCATTTGCCAAAACTGCAACCTTCTCCTTTAAGACCTGATTTCTCGGGGCGGGACGTGTGCTCCGCATGTTGCCCCAGTTCCCTCCCTGACCCTCCCTCCTATGCTGATGCGCTATTTTAACGCTGCCCCAGTTCTGCCTGTCTCTGGGATCACCTAAAGGGAGAAGAATCTAAAGAAGCAACCAAGGAAAAGGAAGCCAGGCCATCCAGGCAGGACCTCCTGTCCCAGGGAAGAGGGGCTGATGTAGATTCCCCTCACCCAGGGGGGCTCAGAGAGCACCACCCTCAACACCATGTCCCTACTGTTCAGTTCCTAGTTTCCAGCCTGGATCCTTCCCTCTCACATCCTGTGGTGCGTGTCTGTGAAATGAGATTTGACTAAACGAATTTGGTAAAATGGGATTTTTTATAAAGATTGTATTTATTTGAGAGAGAGAGAGAACAGCACGCATAAGTAAGGGGAGCAGCAGAAGGTGAGGGAGAAGCAGACTTGATAATGCAGGGCTCCATCCCAGGACCCTGGGAGCATGACCTGAGCCGAAGACAGAGGCTTAACCAACTGAGCCACCCGAGCACCCCTGTAAAATGGGATTTATTACAAAAGAAAGACCAAGGGGTAGCAAGGGATGACTTTCGTTGACATTTTTATACCACCAGAGAGGGGTCCCAAGAGCAGAGGCTGTGGGTACCCCATTCTTCACACCTACTTTCCCGCCCAACCCCTGAGAAGTAACTGGAAACCGATGCACAATTTATGAGTTGGTAAGGCACTCTTGCCTGGAGAACATTCTGGACTAGGAAAAGGCCCAGCAGTTCTGACTTGCTTCTTTCAACACCTCTCTTCTGGACTCAGTCTCTGCAGTTCCATTCCAGGGACTGAGGCTCACCTGTTGCCTCAGGAGCCAAGAAAATTCTCATAAGTGGATATTAGGAGACAGCCACACCGACACCTAAAATCAGTTTAACGTGTGTGTGTGTTTATTTTAACATGTCTGTTGTGATGGTTAACTCTATGTGTCAACTTGGCTGGGTCATGGGGTACCCAAATATTTCGTTAAACATTATTTCTAGGTGTGTTTGTGAGGGTGTTCCTGGATGAAATTTAACATTTGAACTGGTAGACTAAATAAAGCAGATTGCCTTCCCCAACGTTGGTGGGCAGTGTCCAATCCACTGGAAATGCCGAACAGAATAAAAGATGGAGAAAAAGAGGTTTTGAGCTGTCTGCCGCACTGATCTGGGGCACTGGTCTTCTGTCGTCAGACTGGGACGTACAGTATTCGTTCTCCTGGTTCTCAGGCCTTCACACTCAAACTGGAACTAACTCCAGAAGGTGTTCCTGGATCTTGAGCTTGCAGATGACAGATCATGGAATTTCTTAGTTTCCATAACTGCATGAGCCAATTCCTTACAATAAATCACTTTCTCTTTCCCTCTCTCCTTCCCCCCGCAACTGGCTCTGTTTCTCTGGAGAACCCCAATACATCTATTTATTAAATTGCCAAACAATAAAGTTTAAAAGACTGGCAACATCAAATGTTGGCGAGGATGTAGAGCAACTGGAACTCTCAGGCATTGTTGGCAGGAGCCATTTTGGGAAATGGTCTGGTAGTTCTTTATAAAACAAAACATACCTGGCCTGACCTAAGCAACTCCTCATTTACATAATTACCCAAAAGAAATGAAGACCTATGTCTACAAATAGATGTTTGTAAGAATTTTCATCACAGCTTTAGTCATAACAAGCAAAAACTGGAAATAACTCAATTGTCCATCAAAGGAATGGGTACACTAACTGTGGCATGATGGAATACAATGGAACCCTACTCAGCAATGAAAAGCAATGACTACTGATACATGCAACCACATGGATGGATATTAAAAACATGCTGAGGAAGGACAGAAAAGAGCACACATTATGATTCCAAATGTATGAAGCTTTACAACAGGGAAAACTCTGTAGTGAAAAAAATCAGAACAGTGCCCGTCTCTAGGAGTTAAGAATTGGGGCAGAAATGAACTGAAAAGGGGATGCGAGACCTTTTGGGTGTGATGAAATGTTCTATATCATGAAGACGGTCTGGGTTACACATATGCATGTACATGTCAAAATTCAGTGAATGTACACTTAAGATTTGAGATTTCATTGTTTGTAAATTTTATCTTAACCAGAAAAAAAAAACTAAGCAAATATTGAACTGTAGTTAATGATATACATGCTGAAGCATTTGGAGCAACGTGTACTGATGTGTGCATTGAAATGAGATGCATCAAAAAATGATGCATAAGTCAAATTTCTTTCCACTTTCCTGTACGTTTGAAATTTTCATCATAAATCACCAATAAAAGTATCAAGTAGTGAGGGGGGTGTGTGTGTGTGTGTGTGTGTGTGTGTGTGTGTGTGTGTGTGTGCGTGCATACACTAATTTAGCTACAGTGGTCAGGGAAGGCCCCTCTGATGGGGATACAGGTGCCAGAGAACTTGGTGTGTTAGGGACAGTGAAGGTCAAGGTCACAAGCACAGTAAGTACCAGGGGTGGCAGGTGACAGTGGGGACATGCTCTCTTACAAATTTCAATTATAAATTGCAGGATTTAACAGTTTCAGGTCTTGTACTAAAGTCTTTAATCCACTTTGAGTTGATTTTTGTGTATGGTGTAAGATAGGGACCCAGTTTCATTCTTTTGCATGTGGATAACCAATTTTCCTAACACTACTGAACAGACTATCCTTTCCCCATTGTGTAGTCTCAGTGCCTTTGTAAAAAATTAATTGACCGTATATGCATGGCTTTATTTTTGGCCTCTATTCTGTTCCATTGGTCTATGCATCTGTTTTTATGCCAATACCATACCGTTTTGATTACAATAGCTTACTAACATAGCTTGAAATCAGGAAGTGTGATACCTCCAGCTTTATCCTTCTTTCTCAAGATTACTTTGGCTATTCAGAATCTTTTGTGGTTCCATACACATTTTAGGACTGTTTTTCCTATTTTTGTGAAAAATTCTACTAGAATTTTGATATGGATTGCACTGAATGTGTAGATCACATTTTAACAATATGAATTCTTCCAATCCATGAACGTGGAATGTCTTTTTATTTATTTGTGTCTTCTTCAATTTCTTTCATCAATGTCTTATAGCTTTCAGCGTACAAATCTTTCACCTCCTTGGTTAAATTTATTCCTAAGTATTTGTTTTTGTTGCTACTGTAAATAGTTTCCTTTTTTCTTTTTTTTTAAAGAGTTTATTTATTTATTTGACAGAAGGAGAGAGACAGCAAGAGAGGGAACACAAGCAGGGGGAGTGTGAAAGGGAGAAGCAGGCTTCCCACTGAGCAGGGAGCCCGATTTGTGGCTCGATCCCAGGACCCTGGGATCACGACCTGAGCTGAAGGCAGACGCTTAACGACTGAGCCACCCAGGCGCCCCTGGAATAGTTTTCTTAATTTCTTTTTCAGATACGTCATTGACTACTGAATTTATTTATTAGATAAAACATTTTTTTGGTGGAGGCTTTAGGGTTTTCTATACAATATTATGTCATGTGATACTTTGCTTTTTCATTCCCAATTTGGATGACTTTTATTTCTTTTTCTTGCCTAATTGCTCTGGCTAAGACTTCTAATACCATGTTGAATAAAGGTCTGAGTATAGGATTGTTGTTTTCCTTTTCTCCCTCAAAGGTCTACAGATAAAATTCTACCATATTCTAGTTTTTTGGTGTTGCAAATGGAAAATTTGATTCTAGTGTGATTCTTTTTCCTTTTGTAAATAATATATTCCTTCAGGCTGAAAACTTGAAAGATTTTTCCTTTCATCCTTAGAGTTCAGATATTTTACAAGGATATGCTTAGATGTTTCTTAGTTACCTAGTGGTAAGTCATGAGTGCCCTTCACCATTTCTAGTGTCCCTCCTTCTAGCTATACATTATAGTAGGATTGCACTTGCTTACTCCCTTTGAAGTTAAAGGTGAGGTTGTGATTTGCTATGGTTAGTGAAATGTGAGTAGAAGTAATGTATGCACTGCCAAGCAGACTTGAAGCATTAGCTCATGATTCACCAGAGACC